CGTTTCAGGACCCAACTAGGTAACATCAACAGTGTTAGAAAGGAGTGGGGTTTGGGTGGGGAGGAGAAGGAGAAGGAGAAGGAGGATGAGGAGGACTGTGTGTGTGTGGGTCCTTGGTGCTCTTTGAGCTTGGTAATTTTCTTGCAGACGTTTCAGGACCCAACTAGGTAACATCAACAGTGCTACAAGGGAGTGGGGTTTGCTCGTATTTTTATTTACTAGTGCAACAGTCCCCAATCTTTGCAGCTTGGTGGCCTGGCTGGGATGGGAGAGAGGGGGACTGGGCTCGCCACCCGCCAGCGTGCGCACACACAGCCCTCACGGGGGCGAGGGACTGGAGTCTCTCTCTCTCTCTCTCTCTCTCTTTCTCTTTCCACCTACCTTCTTTTCCTTTGCAATGCGCTCTGCTCGGAGAGATGCAACTTGAATCGGAGGCAGTGGCTTGTCGTAGTTGATGCCACTAAAATTAAGAGGAAAAATAGGGAATAGGTAGGATAATAAACAAAGCCACTTAGGTCAAATAGGACGCACAGAAATGTGATGAATGAGTAAATGAACGAATGAATGATTGATTGATTGAACAAGTGAGCCAAGTCAGATATTCTGAAAGGAAAAAAACCAAAACAGGCACAAAGCAATTAAATTAAACCCTGATGATTTCGGTGCTGGATTATGGACAAACCCATGTAACACATCACTCATATAACAAAGTGTTGGAGAGAATACCCTGAACTTTAGATCAGAGGTCTCCAAACTTGTCAACTTTTCGACTTGTGGACTTCAACTTCCAGAATTCTGCATGGGTGGCTGAGAAATTCTGGGAGCTGAAGTCCACAGGTCATAAAGTTGACAGATTTGGTGATATCCCTGCGTCTTTTCCACCGTCTCTTGCCCGTTCTTACCTTTCTGCAAGGACTGAAGTGTGTTTAGGGTTTTTCTGGAAGGGATTCATGCCAAGTCTGAAATAAAACCACACACACAAAAAAGATAGGCATTTGTTGGAAAGCCACAGGAGATTTTAAAAAACGCCGCATGTAATTAGATGCGAAGCCCAATTTGAAACGAAGGAATCGGTTTAGGTGCACCAATCAGCGCCTCAAATTGACACCGGAAGGGTTATATCCAGGCGCGCCTTTTCTTCGTAAGACGTTCCTTATGCTTTTCTGAAGTGAACATGAAACTGTATTTTTAGTTTATTAGATTTTTTTTTTATCTTGCCCTTACTACTTTAAAAGTAACACAAAGTGGCGAACATACCCCACGCTGCTTCCTCCTCCTATTTTTCCCCACAACGTACCTGTGAGGTGGACTTGGATGAGAGAGGGGGACTGGTCCAAATGCACCCAGCTGGTTTTCATGCCTAAAGCATGAAAGACTAGAATTCACTCTCTCCTGGTGAGTGGCCGAAAGTAAGCTAGTTGCTTTCATGCCTAAGGCAGAACTATAACTCACCGTCTTCTGGTGATTTACCTAAAGTCAGTCAGGCTGGCTTTTATGCCTGAAGCAGGACTAGAATTCACTCTCTCCTGGTGAATGGCCGAAAGTAAGCTAGTTGCTTTCATGCCTATGGCAGAACTATAACTCACTGTCTTCCGGTGATTTACCAAAAGTCACTTAGGCTGGCTTTAAGCCTAAGGCGGGACTAGGACTCAAGAGTTTCCTGGTATTTGACCCAAAATCACCCAGTTGACTTTCATGCCTTAAAAGCAGGACTAGAACTCCCTGTCTCCTGGCTTCCAAGTTAAGACCTTCCCAGTAAACCTGGCTCCCCTTTAGCGATATATCATGTCTGGGGACTGCCAATTGGACTCAGGCCTATTAAGTACGGAAAGGACTCGTTTTCTTCCCAACTGTCCTTGTATGAACTTACAGGGGTTTGATGGGCGGACTCCTCTTCCCAGCAATCAGTTTCATGATCTCGAAATGGTTTGTGTAGAGATGGGTGTGCGACGCACCTTCGTCCTGGGCGTACAACTGGTTGGTCCGAAGCGGGCGACTGTTCTTTGTCTAAACGTGAGCAAACGGGACAAACTTCGTATATGGAGCAACATGGAAAGAAACAGGGAGGCGTTGGGTCTACACACCGACTCGTGTGGGAGTTTCAACGCAGCAATCTTCCCTAATCTGGCGTTCTTCAATTATGACTGATTACAGCAACGTTTCTCAACCTGGCCAACTTTCAGAAAGGTGGACTTCAACTCCCAGAATCCCCTAGGGTCTGGCCAGTTAACAAAACTCTATGGTTTTTGGACCTTAGTGGGTTGGTTTAACCAAGCCTTTAAGCCAATGTTTCTCAACCTGGCTAACTTTCAGAAGGGTGGACTTCAACTCCCAGAATTCCTCAAGATCCAACTTATTTAGATGAGACTGCTATGGTTGCTGCACTCAGTGGGTTTAACCAAGGCTTTAAGCCAATGTTTCACGCTGTCCGGGGAATTATGGGAGTCGAAGTCCACGCCTATTAAAGTTGTGCAGGTTGAGAAACATTGTGCTACAGATTCCATCTCAGCCAGAGGAGATGGTCTAGATAGTCAGACAAGACTAAAGTCATACAAAGGCCGGGAAGAGAGGAAACCAACTTTTGTGTTTTCTCACATCTTAGGCTAATGAATGGAAAGAGGTGAATGAATTCTTGACTGATCCCTCCGTTGCCTGACCTCTGTTCTTCTGATTTTCAGAACTAAGCACAGCTGGTTGTAGCACCAGCATTCGTGAGAAGCTCCAACACAGCCTTCAGGGTTGCCCCAGGAGCAAGCTCTCTTTGACCATTCCATAAGGGCGGGCTGGTTTCCCCCATCACAGGAAAACTCGGATTGTTTTAAACACAAGTTTAAAACACCGCCACCATGCCCCGTTTAACGCCATCGGGCTAAGCCAAAAAGCCACAACCGAGAAACCTACAGGGTCAGATCTGTGCAACCCGTAAAGTCCAAACCAAGCCAACCAAATGAAGGCTCAGTGTAACGCACGAACTTGGCCACGCATCTGTGCATGGACAAAACACACACAGACAGAGCTCTTTCTCCTAATCGAGTTGCAAACCATGTTCATTTGCAACCTCACAAAGGTTTGGGGGTTTCTTTTTCCCCCCCAGGGTGGGGGGAATTCATGATGTCAGAAAGAGGGCTCCAGAGCGTTGCCCCAGGAGTGGGATACGAAAGGGTTAACTACCGGTTCGGGATTTACGAGCTTCCGTGCCCTCTGTGAGCCTCATGCCTGTAAATCGTCATAAATCATCATTAGCACGTCATAAGCATGCTGTCTGCCGAGAAGCAGCAGCCTTTGAAACAGCCCTCTTTTCTTGTTTTTTTTAACTGCAGCTGTGGCTCGTTTGGCAGCTGAAGTTATAAAAAATCAGGAAATAAAGATCAGGTAGGAGCCCAGGTGGGCAGGTGGGCACAAACACCAGCAGACATAGAACCGGTTCCATGTCTGCTGCTCTTCAGAGCTACTGGTTCAACAGAGGTGGACAGAACCGATAGAAACCCACCCCTGCTTTGCCCCCTCCTTGAAGTGTGTGCACATCTGTGTTTGTGGTGTGTGTGTAACCCAATTTGTAGAGTACCACTCAGAAGGACCACTGCCTCTCCTAACGACACAGCTATATTGTACTGCTCAAATTCTGCAGGGGTCAATTTGAAGGAGGTGGGGGGGTGGAGGTGATACATTACCTGAGGGGGTGTTGCAGGGATTAATTCATTAAAGCTCTGCAAAGCAATCAGATTTCAAAATGAAAAGTAAAAAAAAAAAAAAAAAAGAACCAGCTAATAGCCAAAATTTTATTAAGTCAAACCCAAAAATTAAAAAAAAGAAAGAAAGAAAGAAAGAAAGAAAGGGGAGAGGGGGAACCAGAGTAAACCGTGAGGAATGAGGTGTCATTTTGGGGGAGGTGGATGGAGTCTATTTTTCTTTTTTTCTTTTTCGAACAATAATTTAAAAAAAAAAAAAAATAAGAATTCAAACCGGGTGAGGAAATCGCTCAACCGCATGCTGGAGACACAAAAGGGACCACAACCACAAATCTACTTGCGTCGGGACGCAAAAAACAAAATGGCGGAGGTTTTCGAAAGGGCCGAATCAGGAGGTGTTGAGGGGAAGGGGGCGAGGGAAGGTGGACCGTTCCTACTTCCGCTTGGGTGCCATCTCTGCTTGACACTTAAAAGAGATCGGAACTGTCTGCAATTGGAACAACAATTTGTAAGTGCACACCTTATAAATGCTTTTAGTCTTCTTCTTAGGATTCGCTTCATACATAAGCTGTAAAATAAGAAGCAAAGTTTGACTTTCCGCGATGGGTTTGGGAAGGCGGTTAGTGTCACAAAAAAATAAATAATAATAATAATAATGAGGATAGTAATAATAATAATAATAACAGTAAAAGAAAAGGGGGGGAAAAACAAGGAAGTCCAGTTGCCTTTTTGTAAAAAAACAAAGCACCTTTGGGACAACCGTGACCAGGATCTCCATCGACAATAATCAAGAGAGCTTCTTCTTCTCATGGAGTCAGTGGGCAGGCTCGAGGCCTGGGGAGGGGAGGGGGGGGGGGAGGGAAAGCCAGGCCTGAAGGGACCCCCCCCACCAAAAAAAAAAAAAAAAAGGACTTGGGGAGCATGCTGGAAAGCCTTGGCACAAACTCCTGAGTCTCCATGCCCGTCCATCCTCGAGGCCTGGGGGTTGAACCTAGCTCAGGAGGGCAAGCCGGGGAGGCGGTCGTGGGGCACACTTGGCCGTTGCTTAACAAGCAAAATAATAAGAATATTTAAAAAGAAAGGGGAAGGATAAAAAAAAAAAAAAGAGGAGGAGGAGAAGGAGGAGGAGGATAAAGCGCCACACCAAAGCATCGTCAACACACACACAGGCACACACGGTCACAAAGAGGGAACCTGCTTCAAACGGGGTGTGGTTTTTTTTTGCCTTGGGGGCCCCGCTGGCTCACAGCCCCCCCCCGCCTGCTTTCAGCCGCGGACATGGAGGAAGAAGCGGGCCCACCCCCACCCGCACCCGCTTTGGACCGGCACTCACCTTCCCTTCTTCGCGGGGAATGACGACGTTCTCGTAGCGGTTGCGGCACTGTTTGGGGGAGCGGTAAACGCGGCTGCAGGAGTTCACCACGTCGCTCACCAGGTCCCAGTTGGGGGTGTGCGCGGGGGACATGATGGCCAGGTTGAGCGGCAGTTCCAGCAGCTGCTTGACAGCCTGGCGTAAAGATGGGGAGAGCGAGGGAGGGGAAGGCGTCAAGATACAGAATAGCGGAAGGGACCTTGGGGTGTCTTCCGGTCCCACCCGCTGCTTACACTATTCTAGACAAACCACGGCTCCATTTCTCCTCCGAAACCTCCAGGGAGGGAGAACTTCTGAAGAAGGTCTTCCTGTTCAAGGGAGGAGACCCTGCGCCATATCCCAATGAGGGAGCACCCACAACTTTGGGAGGCACGCCGTTGCACTGAATTAACAGAGCCATGCAGTAGGAAGGGACCTTGGAGATCTTCTAGTCCAACCCCCTGCACAGCCAGGAAACTCTCTACCATTCCAGACCAATGGCTGTCCAGGCTCTTCTTAAAAACCCTCGAGCGTTGGAGCACCCATCCACCATTTAACTGTCCTCACTACTGAAATTTCTCCTTAGCTCAAGGATGGGTCTCTCTTTGATTAGGTTCCATCTGTTACTTCCTGTCCTGCCTTCTGGTGCCTGGGAGAAGAGGTTGATTCCCTCTTCTTTGGGGCAGCCCCTCAAATATTGGAAGACAGCTGCCGTATCACCCCTAAGTCGTTTCCTTCGTTAGGTTAAAGGTAAAGGTTCCCCTCGCACCTACGTGCTAGTCGTTTCCGGCTCTAGGGGGCGGTGCTCATCTCCGTTACAAAGCTGAAGAGCCAGCGCTGTCCGAAGACGTCTCCGTGGTCATGTGGCCGGCAGCGGTCCCTATTTTCCTACTTGCATTTTTTTCACATGCTTTCGAACTGCTAGGTTGGCAGAAGCTGGGACAAATAACGGGAGCTTACTCCATTACGTGGCGCTAGGGATTCGAACCGCCGATCTTTTTCTCTGATCGACAAGCTTAGCGTCTTAGCCACTGAATCACCACATCCCTTTTCGTTAGATTAAGACATATCCAGTTCCTGTAACAGTTCATCAGTATAATCGTCCCAGTATTAAGTGGGGATACGGCTTTGTATCGCTAAACTGTCATTAATATCTAGAAAAAGACCTACATGTCTAATTAAAGATACTGAGAGACCCCATAAAACAGATGCACTTTCTCTCTCCCTTCTCTCTCTCTCTCCCTCCCTCTCCCTCTCTCTCTCAAAGAGAAAGGGAGAAAGACACGAAACTGTACTAGATGCATCTCCGTTCCACAACACTGGGGCAGACTTCAGAAGACAAGACTACTGAGAATAGCCATAGCAATAGCCCTTAGACTTATATACCGCTTCATAGTGCTTTCCAGCCCTCTCTAAGCGGTTTACAGAGCCAGCCTCTTGCCCCCAACAATCTGCACCCTCATTTCACCCACCTCGGAAGGAGGGAAGGCTGAGTCAACCTTGCGCCTGGTGGGATTCGAACTGCTGGCAGTGGGCAGAATTTTAGCCTGCAATACTGTGCCACTTTCACGGCTCTTGAAATAAAAAGCAGCCAGCCACTTTTAGGCTGCAGAATTTATTACCTCTTCTGGTGTTGTATTCTTGGAACATTTTTCCCCCACCCCGTTCATACCTCGCAGCCCCCCAAAAGCCGCCTTTCTTCTAGGAAGGAACCGCAATTGTTAAGACTTATGGATTTATGTTAAGAAAGTAGGAAGCGGGGTGGGGAAACAGTTCTGGAGAAGAAAGAAGAAGGTTCCTTGGCTGAGATATCCCTAAAAACCACAAGGGATGAATGGAGATGGACCCCTAGTGCCCGACTGCTCAATGCCACGGTCTGGGTCACGCTGGGCGGCCGCTACAGAGATCGCTTTCAGGTTGGTTGGGTAGACCGCCTCTCACCTGGAGGAGCGCCCAGTCTTCGCTGATCAGCCACTCGGGGTTGTCCTGGCCGGATTCCGCCGCCGGCTTCGCAAGGGTGGGCAAGGGCTTGGCAAACGGGGTCTGCTGTTTGAGCAGGATGTTCTTCTTTTGCTCCTTGCCTTCCCGGCGCACTTTCAGCATTCCCGGAGTGGCGCGGTCAAAGAGGGAGCGAGGAGGAACGACGATTTCTCCGTGACGCTGCTTCTTCTTCCTTCCTGCGGCTGGGAGAGAGCGGGGTCACAGTCAGCAGGACAGCTAGAGGGGCGAGTCTGCCTGTCTTTCTTTTTCTTTCTTTCCTTCTTTCCTCTCTCTCTCTCCCCCCCTCCTTCTCTTGGCCTCCCTCTCACTCTCTCGGTCTCTTTTTCTCTCTCTCTCTCTCTCCCCCCCTCCTCCTCTTGGCCTCCCTCTCACTCTCTCGGTCTCTTTTTCTCTTTCTCTCTCTCCTTCTCTCTCTGTGTGTGTGTGTGTGAGTGAGAAGAGACAAACAAGAGTGCATGCAGTCTGTCCTGAACACATCGAGCCTGAAGCCAGGAAGATGACGTGGATGGAGTTGAATCAGCTTCAAGGTGAAGGTGACAAGAGGTGCGGCAAGTGCACAAGGCAGAAGGCACACGGGTCTCAAATCCCAGGCAAAGCTTACTGGAAGGATCGGTCTTGTGCCTCTTGCGCTCCTTCCGGACGTACACGGGAGGCAGCTTGGACTCTGGGATGAGGACCGGCTCGTACATCAGGCACATGACCGAGTCAATGTAAATGTCGTTGTCATCCTGCGGTGGGGTGGGCGGAGTCCAAAGCTGCAAAAAGCACCAGGAGAAAAGTTACCCATCCCTCGTTTCCTAAACTGTAGGGGTAGATATATATGCACCGGTGTGTTCCACTGCGGAGGAGCAGGAGGAAGATGAGGAGGGGGAGGAGGGAAGGAGGAAGAAAATTAGAGGGAGAGGAAAATGGGAGAGGGAGGGGGATGGGAGTAGGTTGGAAGGAGGAGAAGAAGAGAATAGGAGGGGGAGAATGGGAAGAGGGGAGGGGAGAATTGGAGGAGGAAAGAAGGAGGGAAATGGGGGGAGAAGAAGAATGGGAGGAGAAGAGAAGGTGGAGAATGGGAAGAAGGGGTAGGAGTAGAAGAATGGGAGAAGGATGGGAGAAGAGGGGAGAAGAAGGGGAGGAGGAGGAGGAGAATGGGAGGAGGAAAGGAGGAAGAAAATGGGAGAAGAAGAAGAATGGGAGAAGAGGAGGAGGAGAATGGGAGGGACAGGAGAACGGGAGGAGGATGGAAGGAGCAGGAGAAAGAGAATTGGAGGTGGTGGTGGAGAATGGGAGGAAGGGGGAGGAGGAGAAGAATGGGAGGAGGAGGAGGAGGAGGAGGAGGAGGAGGAGGAGGAGGAGGAGGAGGAGGAGGAGGAGTACTTACTGGCATGATTTCAGTTTGTCCATCTGGTCCTTCATAAAAATACTCCTGTAGTACCAGGGATGGTGGTGATGGGAATAGGGAGGACAAAGAGAGGTTTAGTCAGTTCTAGTGTTATGAAAAAATGTACCCCAATTCTTACCCCACCCCTCTTAGCAGCCAGCTCAACATAGGGAGCATCATCTAAGGGGATCCCCCCCGCCCCCTGCTTCCCAGAGGGAGACTCTAATCCCCCGAAGGGCATCATCAGCTGGAAATGTAGAAGAGGAAAAGCCGAGCGAACGGAAACGTCGACAGCAGCAGCCCCGACGGCTTTCCACACCTGAAAACCCTGGCATTCACCTCAGCTAGGGCTTAAGTTCGGAGAAGTTAATTTCACGGCAGCGGGAGAAGGGCGACATTGAAAAGATGGCGGGCGGTGATGGCGACAGGGGAGCCCGAGCCTGGAAATATGGCCAGAGCTTCGAGACGAGGGAAAAGCCGAGAAATTTGTTTACTTTGTTATAGGCGTCTTCTCGAGTGTAAGTGAACAGTTCTTCCTCCTTCCCTTCCAGAAACCTTTTCTCCTCTTCCGCTCTCAGACCTTTCAGATGCTGAGTCTCCCACTTCCGTTTTGCCGTCCTCACTTCCGCCTAGAGGTTAAAAACAGAAATCTAGGAAAACCGGAAAACGGGGGCGCCGGAGAGGTTGCATTCGATGCAGCAACGGAACGATATTTCTGCCTCTGGGGTGGGGGCTTTCGAATTATGCCAGTGTCTGTTGAAGGGGGCTAGGCATTTTGTCTTCCTTTGATAAGTGTAACAATAATGTTGGCATTCCTACTTCCCGGCATATCAACAGCCAGTCACTTCGGTCTAGGGGTTAAGGCACCAGGCCTACAAAATGGGAATCTGAGAGTTCTAGTGCCGCCACCTTAGGCATGAAACCCAGCTGTAGGACTTTGGGCCAATCAGGAAGAAACAGTGTATTCCAGTGCTGCCTTAACCGTGAAAGCTGGTTGGGTAACTTTGAACCAATCACCGGGTGACTGGGAGTTCCTAGTTCTGCCTTAGCCATGAAAACCATCTGGGTGACTTTGGACTAATGACCAGAAGACGGTGGGTTCTAGTCCTGCCTTAGTCATGAAAACAGGCTGGGTGACTTTGGGC